TTGTCATGTGACACGTACAGCAGCCACAATAGCACCGTATAAATGATATACAGTAATAGGCTTATGTTTTATTTGATTTTTTTCCTTTTTATTCGAAATATTTCCAAACGTGTTAACTATATTAGGAAATATATCGATTCTCAAACGTGTAAGTAAATGCGTTTTGCACCAGATTGTTAATTGTGGGTGACAAGGTAGAGTAATAGTGTAATCTATTAGCCTAACTACACATAAAAACCCGACTTTTTACTTAAGTAGGCCTACCCGATATGGGTGTCATGCCATAAAATATGTTTAATACGACTGACTTTATATTTAATGTGAATTTAATAACAATATTGTAAGTTACTATATTTAAAATGTAAAGTGTGCAGCAACCCATTGACCACATTTAATATGATGTTATTATTATTATTTTTCTATATATTTGAGTGGTTGTCCAGTATACATTGTGACAGTGAATGACTCTCCCCACTAGATGGAGTCTGCAGCTAGGATGAAGTCCTGCTGTAACGCTGTAGTCCAGTGTTTCCCAACCTTTCTTTAGTCCCGGCACCCTTTGAAAATTTTAACAAATTTGTGGCACCCTACAAAATTAATTTTGTCACAATATTTGAATTTCTCCTAGAAAGCTATTATTATCAGAGGACACGTGAGCATAACGGTTAGCAGATCAATGAATGAGAGGGCAGCGTTACCAGAGTTGCCCTTTTACCACACCTTGTTACAGCCCAGTAGGGCTATTGCAGACAGAAACAATACTGTACTACAGAGATGTTTCCTGTCAGCTCGATTTTTTGAGTGTACTTTGCTGAAACCTGAGTGGTGAACTAATTTTCGGCAGCCGGAATTTCAGTGCATCTCTAATTATTGGCGACATCAGATATGGATATTATATAATAGCTGCTTTTTTGAACATTTTAGCAATTTAAAAATGTTAAAAAAAGGATTTTTTACACGGCACCCCTGCTCTCGACAGACGGCACCCCGGTTGGGAAACACTGCTGTAGTCAACCTTTTGGGGATTTTTTGAGGTATATAACTGGCCTTCCCAAACATGAGTTTGGCCCACCACACAAGATCCTTTTTTAAAACATTCTCAAAGCATGCTGGATAACATTGAAAACATAAAAGCAAAAGGGAGACATACCAAATAATTAGACATTTGTGTTAATTGTTATGCTGACAATATAAACTTCAAAAGTTTGGGGGTCAGTGATTTTTATTATTATTATTATTAAAATGAATGCTTTTATTCAGCAAGGATGCATTGAATTGGTCAAAAGTGACAGTAAAAACATTGTTACAAAAAAATCTATTTCAAATAAACATTGTTCTTTTGAACATTCCATTCATCAAAGAATCCTGAAAAAAAGTATTTATGTAATAATAAGCAGCACAACTGTTTTCAAAATTGATTAAAAAAAATCATATTTCTTGAGCACCAACTCAGCATGTCTGAATGATTTCTGAAGGATCATGTGACACTGAAGAGTGGAGTAATAAAAAAAATGATAAAATTAAGTTTTGCCATTCAAGTATATTAACTCAAGTTGTTTTAAATAGTAATAATATTTCACAGTGAAACTGTTTTACTGTATTTTTGATCAAATAAATTACATCTTGGTGAGTACAAGACATACTTTCAAAAACATTAAGTACAATAGTGCAATAGTGATTTTTTTAAAGGTTAGATTTACACTTTATATTAAAGTAAAATAGTTCTTATTCTAAATATATAAGATTAAGCTTTTTTTAAAATATGACCTTAATGGCTACACCAATATCATCCCATGCTAGTTTAGGATGAACATAATTAATAGAAAATTAATATTACTGAATTCTTATATTTATTTGTGGCTTTACTAGTATTGGTGGTATTACTGTTTTTTAAATCTAAAATGTCCACATTGACATCAATAAAAACCATCTCATATTCACATCCAGCACATTCTGATTAGGAGATCTGATAGCAGATTGCACAGAGGACAGCGGAGCGCTTCAACATGACCTCAGAGATGGAATATTTACCACCTTAATATTCCAGCATGCAAAGTCCAGGGCAGGAAATTATAGACTTTAATTGCATGTGTCATCTATTTTCATAATTTCCCTGAGTTATGCCCCATAAAATCAATGTGTAACATTTGCTAATAATACCCACTGTCACATTTCAAATGAAAAAGAGCTATTTATATCCTCGCTTATTAACCTCCTATGTGTTCGGGTATAACTCAAAGTGTCATTTGCAGGATAAAGCAGCCATCTGGTCGGAGTCGTACACTAGGAGTGGACAAAGAATGGAGAACAAAAGAGAATGGCAGAGGCAAGAATTTAGGGATGTAGAATAATCAGAACAGCAATAAATATGAGTGAAACCTGCCCCAAAATGAGATGCATAAATTAATTTAATTATCAGTTCTAATCATGCTCAAAAACATCCAGTATTTTGAAGCTATGAGAAGCTTGTGAGAATTTTAATAGTAACCAAGAAATCATAAAGTCCACTGCGTAAACAGCAAATGCCACAAGGCAATATGTAATGTAACTTCATTAGAGATACCAGTAAAGTCTTTAGTCTAAACATTAAAAAGCGCAAAATTATCCCAAAATGCTGCCCAGAGGGCAAAATATTGGGAAATGCTTGCAAATGAGATTCTGACGGCAGCACACAGGTAAACATTCAATGATCTGAATATTTATTTGCATAATACATACCTCCAAGAGGTATTTTATATTGCTCATTATTAGAGACTTTGTTGAAGAATTTCAAAAGCTACATAAATTACTTGGCACAACACATCTGTATGTGGCAATACAACAATGACCCAGTGCCATGGCAAAAATGTACATTTATAATATCGTAAGGGAGAGAAATGACATAAAATTACATTTTCGTTGAGCACAATATGGGTTGACAATGTTGTATTTGGTAAGAACCACCTTCCATAACATCAAAGCTGCAGTTCGTAACTTTTTTTGGTTAAAAATGATCCGAAATCAATATCTGAGCAAGTACATAACCAGCCAGTGTTCAAAATTATCTGAAAGCACTGCGTCATTACGTCACATCTGTAAACATAAAGAAGTTGTCCCGGCTGCTAGGCTATCGCATGTGAGGATCCTGCAGGTGGCAGATCGTTTATAGCCTTTTCTCACAGCAGCCAGAATAATTAAATGTATCATTTTAATGGCGGATTGTAATCCATAAAGGATCATGTGTTTATGAAACACATTAAAATGAAATTACATTATATTCCAGTTATAAATGTGCTTCTGATTACAGATAGCCTGGGATTACAAAGATTTGTATTTGAAAGAAAACCAGTTCGAAGGGAGCATAATTTGCTTTTTGGGTTAAAAGAATTTCTTAATATGAAATTCGAAGAGTATGACAATTAGATTAGACTGTGCAGAAATTGAAATCTACACGCTAATACACACTATACTCATAGTCACCAATGCTGATGCTGTTAACATTAATCATTTGAGAATAAAGTATAACAATAATAATAAGTTGAACGGTTTGATGTGATATGAGCTAAACGATCTTTAGATTTAATCACCATTGGTAGCGAGATTTATGGTAATGCTTTTTTCCTCAGTTGGTCAGAACAAACGTGGCAGACTTGTTACTTACTTGTTCAGATGGCAATATACAGTGAAAATTCTTATTTGGGTCATATTCCAAGACGTAGGCTAGAATCTGTGATTGCGAAGTACAGTAAATATCCACACCGGTGCGGTGACCGACTACCACACATACTCTTCAGAACATTAGATTCATCCGCGCTGGAGCCGTGCCGCCGCACAACCCA